TGTAGTAAAGTAGTAAAGGTCCTCCCGTTGTTCGTCGATTTGCTCGAGCGGGCCCAGTAACGTCTCCATTGGAGACTTTGTTGTTACTGTGTTTGACATATTGAATATGTCACGGGGAGCTTGCCAGGCTCTGCTGTGCGGGCGAGATACTCTCGGCAGCTTGCCGGGCTCTCCGAGAGGGGCGGAGGAATCGAACTCGGGTCGGCCATGTTGGCTGCATGCAAGGCAAACGCCCTACTGCTGTGCTATATTTTCCAGAAGTCTAATGGATGAATTTTGCATTACATGTAATGTAGACTTCTTTTTATAACAATGTCTATAATGAAACAACTACGTTCTTCATCACAGTAATTGCTGGAGTCAATTACTCTGGAGATGTTTTTTTAAATACAAGATGGTCATAATTATAACTTTACTTTCCAAAAATTATTTTAAGTTTAAAAAGTTAAGTTCTCTAATCACACATTTTTTTTCTCAATCCTTCCCCTTACCTTTGCTTTTATCCGCATACAGATGATATGTTTCTCACAGCGGTAGGGCATTTGCCTTACAAGCAGCCAACATGGCCAACCCAAGTTCGATTCCTCCGCCCCTCTCAGAGAGCCAGGCAAGCTACCGAGAGTACCTCACCCGCACGGCAGAGCCTGGCAAGCTACCCGTGACGCATTAGATATGCCAAACACAGTAACAACAAGTCTCATGATGGAGACGTTACTGGACCCGCTTGAGCAAATCGATGAAAAACGGGAGGACCGTGACCGTGACCGTATACTCTACATTCAATCTTTTCTCTAAAGATCTAAAGATCACACCAGGAATTATGCCCACTGTAGTCTTTCACTATTTTTTTTCCTCAATTGAATCAATATGAGGTACAGTTATAAAGCTGTTCATGATCTGGTTTTAGTCATACAATATTCCAACACCCATCTGTCCACCGGTGTACATACTCCGTTAACAATGTTCTAATGTCCCCAGTTTCCCTCATACCCCACACCCCAAGATTAATTCTATAGCAGCCAATTTTCTTCTCTTTCTCTCTCTCTCTCTGTCTCTCTCTCTCTTCCCCCTTTTGGGTATTATGGTTTGCAATTCAGATACTGAGAGGTTATCATAGTTACCTACTTTCAACACACAGTTCTTATCCAGAGTGATCATTTCCAATTATCATTACCATATTAGTTCTTTCTCTATCCCATCTGCCTTCACCCCCAGCAGTTGAGGAGGCTTCCAACCATGGACCAATCCTTCTGGCCCTTGTTTATACTGTCCTTAGGTTTTAGTCTTATACTATGTTTTCTTTTTTATATCCCATAAGGGAGTGCAATTATTCTATATATGTCCCTCTCCTTCTGATGCATTTTACTCAACATGATATTCTCCACATTGATCCATTCATAAGCAAATTTTTTACTTTGCTTTTCCTAATAGTGGAATGGTATTTTTTTATGTATATGTACCATAGCTTCTTTAACCAGTCTTCTCTTCTCAAGCACTTGGGTTGTTTCCAGATTCTAAATATTGTGAATAGTGCTGTAAGAAACATACGAGTGCAGATGGCATTTCATTTGTGCTCATGAGGTATATTCCCATAAATGGTACTGCTGAGTCAAGTGGAAACTCAACTTATTGTTTTTGAGGAATGTCCATATTGTTTTCCAAAAGGGTTGGACCAGTTGTCATGTCCACCAGCAATGAATGAGAGTCCTTTTCTCCAAGCATCCATGCTAGCACTGGTCGTTCTTCTTCTTTTTTTTTTTTTTGATGTGTGCCAGTCTCATGGTATGACTTGATACACTGTTGTTTTGATTTGCATCTTCCTGATGATTAATGATGAAGAGAATTTTTCCATGTGCCTTTAGACCATTTGAATTTCTTCTTTGTAGAAATTTATGTTCATTTCTTCTCCCTCCATTTCTTGGTGGGGTTGGATGTTTGATTATTGTAAAGTTCTACTAGTGCCTTACATGGTTTGAAAATTAACCCTTTATATGATGATATTGGGTAAATATTTTGCCCATTCTGTGAGTTGTCTCTGTATATTAGTCACCATTTATTTTGAGTTGCAGATACTTCTTTCTTTCCCACTCCTCCCCCCTGCAGAAACTTCTTTTGAGACGCAGAAGCATCAACAAGTTTGATGTAGTCCCACTTGTTATCTTTGTTTCCACTTCCTTGGTCAGTGGTGTTTCATCCTTAAAGATGCCGCTAGCTTCAATGTCATGGAGGGTTCTCTTAAGTTTTCCTCCATTTGCCTTATGGATTGAGGTCTAATATTAAGATCCATAATCCAGATGAGTCCTACTCTACTGTTAGGGTGCAGATTGAAATCTCCCTTTGATGACAGACTCCAGAGACTGCAAACAGCAAGCAGGGTTTATGGCAAGACTGGCCAGCCAGCGTCCCACCACCTACACAGACACACAGGTCTGGCAGGTTGGGTAAAGACCCCGAACTTCTTCAAAGATCTTATATAGGCCTTCACCGACCGTTACAGCAGAGCCCACACATTTCATAGCCAATAGATTTGTAATAACAGATACTTTCCTAACCAATCCAATTAAGGGTACATCACTTCTTAGCCTATAGTTTAAAGATCAGCATTTGTGTCAGTGCTTAGAAACGTCCTAGTTTTTAGGGCAGTCCTGGGTCTTGCAACATGGGTCTTGTGAGAGACAACCGGTTATCTGGTCTGACTGCCACCCTTCGAGTACCTGTATCTGAATTCCTTGCTCAGGGGCAGAAAAACCAGTTATTTTGCAGTGCAGGCTCCTGTAAAGTGGATCTGAAAAAGCTTATCTAGACCTGTTCCTTGAAAATCCAGTTATTTTGCAATGCAGGTTCCTATTAAGCTAAGCTAAATTAATTCTGGTGGTGGTTCATTTTGGGGCTGTCCCTCACAATAATTTTCTCCCAGACACAAAAGAAATTAGAAAATTGTGAACAACTATAATATTTCTACTCTAGATATACTACAAAAGTCTTCTGAGAAGGCATAGAAAATGAATGATAGTATTCCTTTAGTAGTAAATGAATCGAGGAATCATAGCAAAATAATATATTTTGGATGAACATTGTGGTGGATGTGGTGTTGAAATGATGTATGCATGAAACTACCGTTAACACTAAGTAACACTGTCCTCCTGTTATTCATCGATTTGCTCAAGCGGGCCCAGTAATGTCTCCATTGGATACTTTGTTGTTACTGTGTTTGGCATATCGAATACATCACGGGTAGCTTGCCAGGCTTTGCCGTGTGGGCGAGATACTCTTGGTAGCTTGCCGGGCTCTCCAAGAGGGGCGGAGGAATCGAACTTGGGTCGGCCATGTTGGCTGCGTGCAAGGCAAATGCCCTACCTTTGTGCTATCGCTCCAGCCCTAAGTAACAATTCCTCAATAAATACTGGAAATAATGAAGAAATAAAATGTGGATGCTGAAAATGAATGAATGTGTGGTAACTGGTTTTACAGCCTAAACGATCCTTCAGTGGGAAGAGGTGGCAAGCAGTTGAACTTGATTAATAAAATAAAGTTTTCTTGGGGCCAGAAAGATAGTTCAGGGGATAGACCATTTGTTTTTCCTGCATCCTATAAAGTTCCTCAAACACAGTAAGGAATGATTCCTGGATGCAATGCCATGAGTAACCCTTAAGCATCACCAGATGTGACCCAAAACACCACCACCCACCAAAAAAAGAAAGAAAACTCTGCTCTATTTTTCCTGGTTTGAAGATTATAAATCTTTTATTCTTAAATAAAGTAAATGAAAATATGAACAAACTGAAAAATCAACAATTCTTTTTACATGTATCAGTGAAGTAAGACCATAGAGAAAACCATACCTCAGCCCCCCCAACACAACTGGGTGTGTTCATGCTTACACAAACACACACACACATATACACAAATTGAATAAGTATGTGATATGTCAAAACCTCTGCAGGAATCGAAGCCAGAACGAAAACAAAAACAACAAAAAAAGCAACAATAATAGCCCAGTAATAGATGACTTTCTGAAAGCTGAGTGTAGACAAATCTAGAAGTTAAAATTGTGTAAGAAATTGCCCATAGATAAATTTTCATACATTTGTATATTTTGCCTTCAGGAGCTAGACCAGTTTCTTATAATAAAAAAAGCAGAGAAACCCTTCTCATGCTTTAAGCAAAAGTAGATGAAGGGTGGGAGTGAGGGAATCATTATTTTTAAATATTTTAGGCATTTTGTCCTCAGTAAGGCATGCCCTCAAGACTATTTATTAGAATTTAAATGATGGTTTTTGTCGACTCTGACCTTGGTAAAGAGTAAATGTTCCCATTCCATTCACTTTATTTTTTCATTTTTATTTTGTATAAATTTATTTATTGAATCATGGTGAGAACAGTTATAAATTTTGGGGGTTTAAGTCTCAGTCATACAATGATCAAACACCCATCCCTTCACCAGTACACATTTTCCATCATCAAAAACCCCAGTATACCTCCCATCCCACCCCTATCCCCACCTGTGTGGAAGATAATTTTCACATTACTCTCTCTTTACCTTGATTATATTCAATATTTTAATACCAATCTCACCATTATTATTTGGAATTTTACCCCAACACTCAGGCCTGCCGAAAAAACAACATTAGATGATTGTTTTCTATTGATGATTATGAATAACCTATGATGTTGTGTGGCTGCAATCTTGGAAATCTGAAATTTAAATAATTAAGTTTGAAAAGATTTCTGCCAATAGCTGCTGGGTTCTGAGATCCGTTTGTGTGTCTCTGGGATCATGATCATTAAGGAGCTTAATAAGTAGTTGGAGAGGCTATTCGTGGGCAGCGTGTCAGAGTCTTATAGGGGCTGGGGAGAAGAACTGGCTCCACCTCTATCCTGTGAGGTCTCCTGATCTCTCGTCACTGCTGGCCTATACCTGGTGTGTCTAATGGACTCTAGAAGATGGTGGCCACCAAGCTGCCAGGAGGAATAGGTGGAGGGAAAACACCTTTTCCCACCTCCGTGACCCGGTGACGGTGGCCTAATGCAAAGTCCGGATGAACTTCTACCAAAAGCCACTGGGACCCTAGAGTCGCTTTTGTGTCTCTCTCCATTAACTTTAGCTTCCTGTCCTAATTGGGAAATTGAGAGTATAAAGAGACTGACAAACACTTTTGAAGTCCACAGAAAACAGACAGGCACCTGTGGCTGGAGAGATAACAGGCCCAGTAAGACACTTGTCTTGTATGCAGTCAGCATAGATTCAATCTGAGGGCATTCCTATGTTTCCCTGAGCACCATTCAAGAATAATCCCTATGCACAGAGCCAGAAGTAAGTCCTAAGCTCTTTGCTCTTTTAGGTGTGAACCAAATACCACTCAGGCTGGAGCGATAGCACAGAGGTAGGGCATTTGCCTTGCATGCAGCCAACATGGCCAACCCAAGTTTGATTCCTCTGCCCCTCTCGGAGAGCCCGGCAAGCTACCAAGAGTATCTCACCCACATGGCAAATCCTGGAAAGCTACCCATGACTTATTCGATATGCCAGACACAGTAACAAGTATCACAATGTTACGCCCAAGTAAAATCGATGAACAATGGGAGGACAGTAACAGTGACCATTACTGTTACTGAAGATTAACAAAATGAAAATATTTTCACTCTCTACTATTAACAAAATGAAAATATTTTCACTCTCATTCAACATTGTAGTAGATACTGGGAAAAGAAGTTAAGACCACTGAACCGAATGAATGAAAAAAAGCCCTTTCCAAACCTACATGATTTCTATAAAATAAAATATGTGTAGGAAAGTATAAGAACTACCTAGTTATTTCAGTCAAGGTATCACCTAGACTATATTACTGACTACCATCTGACCTGACTGCAATTATGCTGCTATATGATAAATTCCTGATCATATCTTTATAAGCAATAACTGAAAAATATTCAATGGTTAGGATTTATGCAATAATCACTAATCATCTAGCTCATCAAAGTTGTCATTCATTTGTACTTCATATGAAATTAGTTTTGAAAAAAATCTCTTGCTGAACTTACTACTCTTTGAAACTGTATATTTTATGGTTGAGAATAATAAAGCACATGTCCAATCTACCTCTAAAAATAAAGAGGTCTATTCAAATACAGGTTTTTAGAAATATATCTATCTTTGATGAGGCCCAGGTGGGGGCCAAAGCTTCAATTACTATTCGGTACAATCAAACCTGTCCTTAGTTCGATGATACCTTTCCCTGGCTGCACACAAAGCAGTTTTGGAATCTAATTGGCATGGAAAGCAGGATAAACTATGCACAACAAATTGGGTGTGAAACAATATTCATTTAGATCTTCCCCATCCACAGAAGTGCTGTTTAGGAAGTTTTCTGTAAACACCAGGGGTTTGAAGGCTTCCTTTAATTGTCTCTTGATGCAGTCTTGTGGCTGACTTCTCTGGGAATTGTCCGGTTATGATTTGATGCCTATACTGAAAATGCTATGTCTGGAATATTCCTCTTTTATATCCTGAGAGTAGGGCATGAAGAGTCTAGGCTGCACAGGAAGATGATAAATTAGTCTTTTGCAAACCGAGGTCATTCAAATCAGATCACCTCATTAAGTTTGGATACAAATTACAATGGGAGATCAGCAGATGCTTTGAAGCAAAACCAATATTAGCTATGTCCCATTTATTCAGAAACACTGCAGAAAGAAATCAGGTTTGATAGATGATCAATAGTAATTCCCATCTAGTGTTAAATATTATTGTTTAAAAAGTAATGTCCTCGAGAAAGAAATTCTATAGTCCTTGTACTCTGAATGGACTTCTTTTTCCTCCTCTGTGTTTTTTAGATCACAAATCTGTTATTTCAATTGTTTGTAATGTGCCTTTTGTTTCTAAAGAACTTCAAGCACCTTAAGAAATTGTTATAGTCAGTCTTTTACGTACTCGATCCTAGAAAATCCCCCACCTTATAATATGCACTCATATGTTATTTAGGATTAAGAGAGGAATCAAAGGAAGACAGGGAGGGAAGAAGGGGAAGTGGGGAAATTAAGCATTGAGTGAGCATATTTTAATAAAAATGATTTAGTTTGAAAACAGTCTACTATCATTTCTTCCTAAACTTTATGGCATCACTTCGGATTGCTTATTAAATCATCAACAACTTACCTTAGGCAGTTCAAGTGGTAAAACACTGACAGGCATGTATACTGGCCTGGGTTTGATTCTCAGGAACCACATCCCCACTACTACTGCCATCATCAATATCAGCACTGCTGGCTGTGACCCCATGGCTCCTGATGGCTGCTGGGAGAGCAGAACTGCGTCAGCAGTGGAGCACTCCACTGTCAGGCTTACTCCATTGGATCAAGTATCTCCAGGAGTGGCCCAAGACTCCCCTATTTTCTGCTAGAATGTATCATATTTTTGAATATAAAATAACTTATTTTATGATATGATTTTCAAGGGTTGGAGCAATAGCACAGTGGGTAGGGCATTTGCCTTGCACGTGGCCGAACTGGCCAACCCAGTTTCGATTCCTCCACTCCTCTCAAAGAGCCCATCAAGCTACCGAGAGTATCTTGCCCCCACAGCAAAGCCTGGCAAGCTACCCGTGACATAGTCGATATGCCAAACACAGTAACAAGTGTCACAGTGGAGACGTTACTGGGCACGCTTAAGCAAATCGATGAACAATGGGGGGACAGTGACAGTGACAGTGATGATTTTCACTAGCATGCAAAAATGGCTATGTCACTTATATTTTTTAAAAAGAAGGAATCTTTTCCTTTCCTTGTCCCTCTTTTTAATGTTATGGGATCAAAGAAGCTTCAGATATTCCTGGAAGGTTTCTGGTACCTATTTATTGTGAGAGGAGGAAACTTTGGTGTATAACTGGGCCCTAGTAGTATGCGTGTGTATATTTCTCATATATATATACAAACACACAAAAGTGCATAATACATGCTATGTGTGTATATATTATATATGTGTATATAAATTGTATATATGTATATATTATATATATTATATATATGCTTATATGTATATGTGTGCACATATAAGTACATCACACCAGCAAGGTATCAAAAAATTCAATTGTCTAATTCAATTTTGTACCCAGCTACTCTGATCATAGTACTGTAGCACTGTAGCACTGCCCTTTCATTGTTCATCAATTTTCTCTAGTGGGTACCAGTAACCTCTCCATTGTTTTACTTGTTGTTAGTATTTTTGGCATTATTAAATGTGCCACGGGGAGCTTGCCAGGCCTTGCCGTGAGGGCAAGATACTCTCGGTAGCTGTCTGAGCTCTCTGAGAGGGGCAGAGGGATGGAACCCGGGTCTGCCGCATGCAAGGCAAATTCCCTACTCGCTGTGCTATGGCTCCAGCCCACTCTGATCATATCAGTCATCATTTTTTCTACAAAAATTGAAAATGAAATGGACTCAGTTTCATAAGACCATATTCCCCAATTGCCAGCTGAAATTCCAGGTTGTTACTAGTGCTTCTGAACAAACTCAATGTTGCAATGACTCATCCCCTGCAACCTGACATGTCAAATACGAATACAAGCTTGTATTTTGATCCTTACTTCTGACCAGCACAACTGACTACAAATAAGGAGTTTTTGGAAAACCCTCCTTGGATTTCACTTATTCCTTAAAATGACTCACAGAACTCAAGAAACCTACTTCTTAACTGGAGTATTACTTTATTTCTACTGGATGTAACTAGGGAATGGCCAAACAGAAAAATGTATAGGTCATGCTATGGGAGAAGAGCACAAGCTTTGAACCCACCTCTACACATATATTATGTTTTCTGTATTTTCACATGTTCACTAATATAAAAGTTCTTTGACCTTCATTCTTTGGGGAGGAGGAACTTATAGGGACTTTATATAAACATACTTGATTAAATAATTAATCATTAAATTGGTGATTGACTTAACTTCCAGGCATTCTCCCATCCCTGGGAGAAAACTTATGAGAAGGGATAGTGGGTCTGGAACCGGACGTCCCAAACTTGTAGTCTCTTAGTTACTTCTCCATCTCTAGGATTTTTCCTAAACACACTGAATTAACAAAACAAGTTACCTTAAGAATATTCAAAACAGAGAAAACAGGTTCAGAGCAATAGTACAGTTGGCAAAGCCATTAAGCATGACGCCAACCCAGGTTGGAAATCCATTAAGCATGACGCCAATCCAGTACCACAAAAAGTTCCTCAAGTCAGGAGTGATTCCTGAATGCGAAGCCACAAGTCCTGTGTACTGCCAGAGGTCAATCCCACTAAAACAAAATTAAAAAAAATTTTTTTTGTTCCATATAAATTTCTGGAGTTTTTGCTCCATTTCTTTGAAGAATGTCATAGGTAGGATAATAGGCATTGCATTGAATTTGTACAGTGCCTTGGAAAGTATTGCCATTTTGACAATGTTAATTCTCCTGATTCATGAACAGGGGGTATTTTTCTATTTCCTCATGTCCTCTTTTATTTCCTGAAATAACGTTTTGTAGTTTTCTATGTACAGGTCTTTTACTTCCTTAGTTAAGCTAATTCCTAGGTAGTTGATTTTCTGGGGCACAATTGTGAAAGGGATTGTTTTCTTCATGTCACTTTCTTCTCTCTCACTATTTGCATGTAGGAAAGCCATGGACTTTTGAGTATTGATTTTATAGCCTGCAACTTTACTATACAAGTCTTTTGTTTCTAGGAGTTTCTTGGTAGAGGTTTTAGGGTTCTCTAAATATAGTATCATATCATTTGCGAATAGTGAGAGCTTGATTTCTTCCTTTCATACCTGAATGCCCTTAATATCTTTTTCTTGCCTAATAGCTATTGCAAGTAATTCCAGTACTATATTGAACAGTAGTGGAAAGAGTGGGCATCCTTGTCTCATCCCTGATCTTAGGCATAAGGCTCTCAGTTTTTCCCCATTGAGATGATGCTTGCTGTAGGCTTGTGGTAGATGGCTTAACTAGATTGAGGAAAGTTTCCACTATCCCCATTTTGGTGAGGGTTTTCATCATAAACCTGTGCTGGATCTTGTCAAATGCTTTCTATGCATCAATTGATATGATCATATGATTTTTATCTTTTCTTTTGTTGATATGATGGATTATGTTGATTGATTTCTGAATGTTAAACCATCCTTGCATCCCCAGGATGAATCCCACTCAGTCATGATGTATGATCTTTTTGATGAGTTGTTAAGTCTATTTGGTCATATTTTGTTGAGAATCTTCGCAACCATGTTCATCAGGGATATCGGCCTGTAGTTTTCTTTTTTTGTGGTGTCTTTGTTTCCTTTTATTATTAGAGAGATGTGGGCTTCAAAGAAAATGTTTGGAAGAGTTTCTGTTTTTTGAATTTCATGGAAAATCTTGAGAAGAAATGGCAATAGGTCCCCTTTTAAAGTTTGGAAAAAATCGCTAGTGTATCCATCTGGACCTGGGATTTTGTTTTTCGGTAGGCTTTTGATTATAGTTTTAATTTCCTTGATTTCAATAGGTCTATTCAGGTACTCTCGATCTTCTTGATTCAGCTTTTGGAGATTATAGGAATTTATCCATTTCTACTAGGTTCTCTTTTTTCGTGGCATACAGACTTTCAAAGTAGTCTCTGACCGATCTTTTGAATTTCTTGGGTTTCTGTTGTGATATCACCATTCTTATTTCTGATTCAGTTTATAGGGTTCTATCTCTCTTTCTTTCTTTGTAAGTGTTGCTAGTGGTTTATCTATCTTATTTATTTTCTCGAAGAACCAGCTCTTGGTTTCATTGATCTTTCGGATTGTTTCTTTGGTTTCCATGTCAATGATTTCTGCTCTAAGTTTTATGATCTCTTCTTTTGTTGATCCTATGTTGATATCTTTTGTTGACCCTATGTTGATATCTTGAGCTGTGAAGTCAAGTTATTTATTGGGGTTCTTTCCTCCGTCCTGCAACAAAGGCAGGGCTGCAGACCAATGGAACAGGGGTGAATATAATGGCATCTCCCCTCAAACATATGATCATCTAATCTTTCATAAGGGGGCAAGAAAAGTGAAGTGGAGCAAGGAAAGCCTCTTTAACAAATTGAGCTGGCAAAACTGGATGGCTACATGCAAAAGTGTGGACTCAGATCTCTGCCTAACACAATGTACAAAAGTAAGATCAAAATGGATTAAAGACCTCAACATCAGACCGGAATCCATAAGGTAGATTGAAGAAAAAGTTGGCAAAACCCTCCATGACCTTGAAGCTAATGGTATCTTCAAAGATTTCACACCACTGGCCAAGCAAATGAAAACAGAGATAGACAAATGGGACTATCTTTAACTAAGAAGCTTCTGCACCTCCAACGACACAGTGACCAAAATACAAAGAGTAGTCTACAGAATGGGAAAGTATATTTGCCCAAAACACATCCAACAAGGGGTTCATATCAAGGATATAAAAAGTATACAAAGTATTGGTTTAACTCCGCACGTAGAAAACATCCAACCCCATCAAAAAACGGGGCATCAAAATGAACAGAAACTTTCTCAAAGAAGATATCTGGATGGAAAAAAGGCACATGAAAAAATCCTCTACATCATTAATCATCAGGGAGATGCAGAACAAAAGAACAATTAGATATCATTTCACACGACAGAGCCTGGCCCACATCCAAAAGAACAAAAGCAACTGGTGTTGGTGCAGATGTGGCAAGAAAGGGACCCTCGTTCACTGTTGGTGGGAATGCCGACTGGTTCAGCCCTTTTGGAAAACAGTATGGACAATTCTCAAAAAATTAGAAATTGAGCTCCCATTTGACCCAGCAATACCACTCCTGGGAATATACCCTGGAGAGGCAAAAATTTATAGTCGAAGAGACATCTGCACTTGTTTGTCCATTGCAGCACTGTTTAAAATAGCTAGCATCTGGAAAAAACCTGAGTGCCCGAGAACAGATGACTGGTTAAAGAAACTTGGGTACATCTACACAATGGAGTACTATTTAGCTGTTAGAAAGGATAAAGTCATGACATTTACTTACAAGTGGTACTACATGAAAAATATCATGCTAAGCAAAATGAGTCAGAAATAGAAGGACAGACATAGAAAGATTGCATTCATCTGGGGAACATAAAGTAACAAAATAGGAGACTAACACCCAAGAATAGCCGAGATAAATACCAGGAGGTTTACTCCAGCCGCACACTGTAGGGGTAAAGGCAGCTCAGATAGAGAAGGGAACATCAAATAAAGGGTGTTGGGAAAATCCACCCAGGATGGGAGATGCACGCTGAAAGTAGAGTATAG